TAGTCTTTCCATTACCAGGGAGACCTCGCAAGAGCACCACTAGCTTGTCGTGAGGCCAAGCTCTATTGCATAGGATGTTTGTGATCGTCTCAATCGCTTGTGTCCGCGCATCCACCCAGCGCTCCATTGTTTCACGCCACTTGGCTGCGATGCTTGAATGATGCCAGCGCAAATGGATTGTCCAACGGTCGATACTTCCATGAATCAGTTTTGGCAGGGCAAACGGGGAATAGTACCTTACGTCACCGAACTCGTAACTTAATATGTGTTTTACCGTCCTGACCCCTTTCATTTCTACCAACTGCGCCAAACCGAAACCAGAAGGTCGAGCAGATGTGCGCAGCAAAAAAGACTACCCGGACAGCGACAATGAAGGAGAGACATCTGGCCGCTGAGTCCTGCGCGGCGACAAGTAACAAGCGGAAGACAAGAACCCAGAGTGCTGATGTCAAGACCAAAAAAAAGATAGGGCGCGCGGCCGCAAAAGAAGCAAAAATACGGAGGAACAGGAGGAGCCGGTCTTTGGCCCGAAGACAGAAAAGAATTGCAGCGCCCTTTGTGCCCTGGTGAAGTCGAAGAGATAGCGTCAATGACATTTTCACCCACAGCATCGCTTGGCCAACCGTCAGGGCTATTTACACATCCGGATGGGATCCTCTGGTACATGACTCTGTACGACAAGGGTGAGATGAGAAATTACTGGGTGGACGACGAGGAAGCAACTATTTTTTCCTGGAGCGCGTACTACTAGTTTGAAGTCAATTATGACATGGCGAAGATTCCTGTACATCCGTAAGAATTTGAGTTTTCGTTCCAAGGTGTCTACCTCCGACATCAAGCGCGGTCCTGTAGCTAGAATACGACCACTCATGAGCATTCTGAAATCGCGATGCCTGCGCCATGTCGAAGTCGGTCGAAACGTGGCTGTTGATGAGGCCACAATTGCCTGCCGATCCCAGTACGCCCGCCACATTATAGTCTTCAACCCACAAAAACCCACCGGAAAGTATCATTTCAAGTTATACGTGTGTTGCTGTTCTACCTCGTGGTACGCGGTGAGTTTCAAGTTGCACTGCTCCAGTGAACTTGATGATCGGCTGGACGGTGTAATTCCACGCTCAGAAGTGCAGAAATTCGCTGATCTAACCGCGAAGTCGTCTGAAATCCGCTCTCACGTCATGGCGGTTACTTCATCTTTGAAAGGATCCAGTCGCATTGTAAACACAGACAACTTCTACACTTCCTGTTTGCTGTTGAAGACTTTACGATCGATTGGTCTCTATGGTCGTGGCACTGTACGCACATCTAGCAAGCATTTCCCTCATTTTACGATGATTCGTAAGGAGGACGCGAAGCCGCGAGGCTACATGAAGCAAGGTGTATGCTTAGAGAAGCATATTGTCGCAGCTAGTTGGGTGGATGGCTCAATTGTCAATGTCGTGTCTAATGCCGATGCTTCGACCACATCAACTGTGCATCGTCGTATAAATGAATCGGGTGTGGCTTTCACTGCTCCTACTTGCGTCGGCGAGTATAATTCAGCGATGCAAGGTGTTGATCGGCTCGACCAACTGCGTGCACGATTTTCTCTAGCCGATGGCCACTCATTTCAGAAGTGGCATAAAAAACTAGCGATGGTCATGCTTGATATAGCCAGGTGCAATGCCTACATTTGCGATAGTTTGGCGCGTGGTGAGAGCGAGGAGTCTCGTTCGACGGGAGGTACAGCCCAAACGAGGTCAAGAGCCCGCGATAGTCATCGCGCATTTGTGGCATCACTGGTTCGAGAACTGTTCAATGGGGACTGGAAGAAATCTCTGGATAGGGAACATGGAATGGTGTATGCTGCGAAGCCGACAACGACAACAATGCCGATGACGACCCAAACCGCGGCGTCGACAGATGTATCCGAGTCTTCGGGCGATCACGCACAAACGTGTGTTGCAAGAGCGTCCTCGGAGGTGCTTCAGGGAAGGAGTCGCTCAATGCGGAAATGCACTGTGTGCAAGTTCGAGGGCAGAGATCCTTCCGAGAAAACCGACTACTGCGAGACCCATCGAGTTGCGTTGTGCAAGCGCACATACCCTGTTGACCCTACGAAGCAGCATCTGTGCCAACAGCAAACTTGGACTTGCTGGCAGAAATACCATTTGTTTTACTTGCCGAAGCAAGTGTACACTGTCGACGGCAACTTGCGACGAACCTCTCCAATTTATGTAGCTAACCGTCCATTTCTGAAGGCCCGCCAAGACCAAAAGAAGGCTAACGCAGCCACCAAGGCGTAACCTCACATCATTTTTTCAAGATAGTCAAAGTCAACTAACCATTTATACTTCACTGCAGTAAGTCACACCTATTCCATCTGCCCCCGCTAGTCTTGATGCCGTAAATGCGGATTTAGCTCGTGGCTGACAACATACTGCTTTACCACTGGTGCACCATAGCGGCAAGCTAACCACACTCCACTGCGTATAATCCGACAGGATGCTATTAGAAATTCCACGCGCCTCCAAGCCGAACAATAACTCCCAACTGTGTATATGTCAGCGAAGACGCCTCAGACCACATCCAGCACGGCCACGTTCGCCACCACCACATCTGAGGTCATGCTGCTGACGGCGCTGCCACGGCCGCTGCCCTCGCTGCCCGAGTCGCCCGCTACCATTGCGTCCGACTCCATGCTGACGAAGTTGCCTCCGATCTCCTCCCGTACGGACACGATCTCTACAAAGGACGTCATGCTGTTGACGCCGCTGACGGTACTGCTGGCACCTCTACAACGGTCTCCTTCCGCACTGTCGATGCATTTGCGCACGCGGTCTGGTCACCGGTCACATCCTTGCCAACCTCCGTGCCGGTGGAGGCACCCACGACCACCTCCAGCACGACAACGGTCACGCCCAAAGCGTCCGTGGTCATGATGTTGCCGGCGCACACACGGCGCTGCGACCGCCGTTATGCTTGCTGCCCGAGTCCCCCGCCGCCATCGCGTCCGTGTCCGTGTCCATGTCGGCGGAGACGCCCCTGACCGCGTCCTCCAAGGCCACGGTCACCTCCATCGTGTCCGAGACCCTGCTGCCGATGTCGCTGGCGCCACTGCTGCCGCTACTTCCGGCGGCGACCTGTGTGCGGCTGCCGCTGGCGTTGTGCTCGACGATCGCATCCGTGCCCCTGGGGACACCATAGTGTTGATAGATATACTACAGAAGACACAATAGCGTGGGGTTTTACCTATCCCTCTTAGCTGTATGATTGGTCATAAACGGCGAGGAAACTGCCGTGGCTCAGAAAATTGCTGTTTCAGTTATCTTGCTACTACATCACCAGTAAAAAGATACTTGATGTATCATTCTGGTAACCATAGGGTTAAGCTATCTATCGTTTTTTTGGGAGCCCCGGAGGTTGCTGGGGTCGACAAATTGTTTCAGATAATTCATCATAGGAAGATTTCTCGCTGATCGTCGCCATTCTTCGTCTTCCGAAGCTCCTCGCTCAACTGAGTGAATACGCTCTCGTCGACGAACGCAGCCAAAGTGTCGGAGTCCAACTCGCTGGATATGTCCACCTGCAAAGCAGCACAGCAGTACACAGTCAGCAAAGTGGCAGTAGTATCATGGCGGCGGTGGCGAGAATGGGGGCATGCCTGCTACCGTCTTACCCCGTACCAGACGCCCAGGCATTGAAATAAAGTAGAACGCCTACTAGGCGGTCTATCCGAATACAACGCCTAGGCGTTCTAATAGTGTGAAAAACTAAAACTCGGAGGCCCTGGTGTCCATAACGTATATATCGCCGCGATACTCTACTTTCACATCGTTCGTATTGCGTCAAAAACGCAGTAGGAAAACGTCGAGAAATCCTGCAGTTGTCGAGTACTACAAGCAGCGCGCGACGCCCGGCGGCCTCATCATCGCCGAGGCCACCAACATCACGCCCACGGGCCGCGGATCCTGGGGCTCCCCTGACATCTTCGCGCCCCAGCAGATCGAGGCTTGGCGCCACGTGACCAAGGCCGTGCACGGCAAGATGTTCCTGCAGTTGTCGGACTACCGCACGGCCGCGGAGAACGCCATCAGCGCGGGCTTCGACGGCGTCGAGCTGCACGCCGCCAACGGCTACTTGCTGGAGCAGTTCCTGCACGACGGCATCAACGACCGCACCGACCAGTACGGCGGCAGCGTCGAGAACCGCGCGCGCTTCCTGTTCGAGGCACTGGAGGCCATCCTCGAGAGTCTGGACTCGTCCAAGGTGGGCATCCGACTGTCCCCGTTCGGCGGCAGCTTCGGCGACAAGGACTCGGACCCCGTCGCCACCTACACGTACGTGCTGAACAGGCTCAACAACTACGACCTGGCCTACGCGCACCTGATCGAGCCGCGTGGCTACCACGTGCGCAACCCGCTGGCACCCGAGAAGGGCTCGGCGCGGCAGTTCCGCGAGACGTACAAGGGCGTGCTCCTCGCCGCGTCGGGCTTCGACCGGCAGTCGGCCGTGCAGATCGTGGAGGAGGGCGCGGCCGACGCCGTGGCCATCGGCCGCCACTTCATCTCGAACCCGGACCTGGTGCGGCGCTTCCAACTCAACAAGCCCGTGAACGACTACGACACGGACACGTTCTACCTCGGCGACGCGCGCGGGTACACGGACTATAATACCCGTTCCTGCAGGACGAGTAGGTAGAGCAGTAAAGACGACGTAGACAGCAAAAGACGTGCTACTTCCGTAAGAACTGCAAGGTGAAGCGTACTGGAGGTGGCTGCGTACTCTCAAGTAAAACAAATTGTTGGTAGTTAAAACTACCGGTAGTTGCTGCAGGCACCAGGCACGTACTGTTACTGCCTCGGTGTGGGCTTGGGCGTCTTGTTGGATCACTTGGCGCGTTTAGTGGGACGGCCTTCTTCACCCTCTTGGTTTTCACGTGCTCGTTTCTTGGATGTTTCCGTCTCGCCACCTTGATCGCCTAGTGGCCCTCACCACTGCCACCAACGTCACTCTCAGCGTCACTCTTCTTCCTTGTCACCCGGCGCGTACGTTAGTGCTTTACGGGCGTTCTGCAACAACTTGTCGCGCTTCGCGGTAAGCGACAACTTTGCATACGAACTAGCGTCTTCGTTCCGTTTTTCATCTTCATCGCGATAGTCCAGGTCGCCCTCCACAAGCCCCAGCGGGTCATACTGAGACTCCACCATGTTTGATAGAATGGAAGCCACGTCCTCGCTCAGGAACGGGTAGGTGACCCTGTTGAGCAAACGGAGGCAGATCGTGAAAACAGGATCCTCCTCCGAGACACTCGACACACTTGAGACGCCAGGATTGCTCTCGATCTTCGCCCGCTTCTTCGCCTGACTCCCGATCGTCTGACTCTCCTCCTTCACCTCAGAGGCGTTGCCTTTCTTCTTGGGCTTAAGATTGTCTTTCATTGTCGTGGCATAGATGAACTTGCCGTCACGCGTTCTACCGCGCACATTCATGTAGATGCGAATGGTATCACGGACATCCGTGGAACCCAGCGGTTTCGGATCCCTACCAATTTCATCAGTAGATTTCCCCGCTGACGAGTTCCCATCACTGTTCTTTCCGAACACAAACCAGGGGCATAGTTTCTCCGTCGCTGCCCTGGAAAACCCACCATCGACTGGGGAACGACTCTTCACTTGAATCAACATCATCAACACTTCCTGCTCCTCTTGTTCACCCCTCGTTGTCTCCCCACCGACTGGCCTGCTGTTGGATCTCTTCTTAAACATCGGGATCAACAAATCGGCTCCATACTGGTTACGGGGGAAAATACCTGCAGCTTGACGCCCCAGCAAAAACCAAAGCGTGTCCTCATTCGGCTCAAGCTGCAACTGCACAAAGTGGGTGAACCCCATGTACCAACCATCCCACTTCGAGCACCACTCGTTGAATTCTGGTCTCTTATCTTCCGCGTTGTACATCCCCTTACAATATATCGGTCTCTCCTTGTTGCCTTGCAGCACGTCCAAGAATTGCTGCACCGGTACAAATTGCCCGATCGTGTGGCAGCACTGGGAAAAGTCTTTGTCCCCCATCACACACGTGTCCATCGCCAGAAGCAGCAAAATCCGAGCAACCATCTCGCCAATTTCGCCAACTCCACCGGTGTCCAATGCTTCATCCAAAAGGAGGTTCTTGAGTTGCGGCAGGATATACTTTGCCAAACCATGTTTCAGTTCATACCACACTTTCATCGCTCCTAAGGCGAGCACTGGGTCCGAAGCGTAGCTGGTGACGTAACCTTCTCGCTTGAAATTCACATAGGCGAGAATCGCCATGAAGTCGGCAGTCGCCCGAGATGCCAGAGCCGACGTTGAATGCGGGCGCACGCCCAGACGGCAAAGCATGGAGGCGACACCAAGCATGGTATCCTTGTTGTACGCATTTTGCGAAGGAGGGAGCCCCAGTAGCAGCTTGTTCGCCGCAAGATTGATCACATCTTCTCTATCCGCAGGATTGGGGCAAGTGCTGTACCACATCGGACGCCCCATGCGGCACAACGCGTGCCAAGCTTGACTCGCATCCCCGGTAACGATTCTCTTGTACATAGCTATCTTAGCACGTTCTTGCTGTTTCTTCTTCTCTTCGTCTTTTTCAGCTCCCACCGCAACCTGAGTTTCCTCTTCCATTTCTTCATCTTCTGCTCCCGCATCTAGTATTTCCTCTTTCATTTCTTCATCTACATCTTGGATGTCCTCTTTCATTTCTTCATCTTCGCCGGCTTGTTTTTCTTCACAGTATTGATCCCAGTGTGCGTCCATTGTCTCAGCTAACACAACTGGCGCAAACGATGCCAACTCTCCATCGAAAAGCCGAGATGATGGGTCCAACAACAGCGGAGGCGCCAGGTCCGAGATCCTGGAGTTCGTATCAATCAGCACGCCGAAAATGCATCCACGATGGCCGATATCTTTGTTCACGGATCTGAGAGCATTTCGCAACATTCGGAAGTCATTCTTCTTGTCTGGCTTCTCAGTCAGCAGGCTTCTCGCTTCATCGATCACCAGAACCACGATTCTGCCATTTGGATTCTTCTCGGTGGAGGTATCCCCCTCCAGCGTGTCTGTTTCATCCGAAAGTTTCGCCTTTACAGAGGTGTCCGCTGCCTTTTCGGTAAACAGCTTCAGCCATTCCTTCTGAACGTCCGCCCAATGCTTGTTCGCGTAGACGTAAATTGTCTTCAATCGACTGGCGATGTCTTCCACTTCGGAGCCTTCTTGAAACAGCCAACCACGAAGCTCGCTCGTAGCCTTGGGAAACCCCGTCGACTCGTGCACACGAGCACACATGTACAGGACTTTCATGTTCAAGGCGCTCTTTTGAGCCTCGATCGCGAGCTCACGCATCGTCCGACTCTTGCCGAAGCCAGAACTCTGCACGACCGCCACACATGGCGCCTTGTACTTTGTGGGGGTGTAGGCCTTCCAGCAGTCCCGCAGATACTGTGCGAGGTCGAGGTGGGCTTCGCCGAGGTACCGGCCCTTGGTGAACGCCTCCGCGATTCGCTTCATTTCATTTTCATCCAACTTGGGCGTGCCGGAGCGGGCTTCAGGGACAAACTTTGCCAGGAGGTCTTTCACCGTCTTGGCCGCAATAGTTTGTACAAGAGGTCGAGACACGCGTGTATGCCCGTATGCTCTTCTGATCTCCACCCGTATCAATCCATGTATATCTTTCTGGGAGGCCTCGAGTTGGAGTGTGGCTTTGTTGGGATAGTCTTCCAGCATCCACGCAACGAAAAGATTTTTCTTCGGCGATGCGTCTGCTCCAAGCTTCCCGCTCATCTGAGCAAAGACACTGTCGTCCACGAACGCGGCCAAAGCCTGGGGATCCAACTGGCTGGACATGTCCATCTGCAGCAGCACAGCAGTACACAGTCAGCAATGCGGCAGTAGTATCATGACGACGTTGGCAAGGGCGCGGGCATGCCTGCTAGTCCCGGTGGGCGGTGGCGCTACAGGACAAGGCTTGGAGGGGAAATGTGGAAATGGCCGGTTCGATTTTTCTTCCCTCAGTTTTGTACCAGAAACACGGTACCGCATCTACGTGATATACAGTGCGCGCCGAAATTATAACCGCACCCCAAAAATTATTTTTTTTAAACCAATGATTGTGCTTTCGGCGCCAAACCGCTGCTTATGATTCGTCTAAAATCGATAGAAAACAGATGCAACAATCAGAATCGAAAAAGCTGTAACCGTTTTTTTGCAATGGACGAAAAACCGACTTTGGGTCGGGTCAAAATTATAGCCGCACCCGGTAAGCTATCGGTAAGATTGGTAACAAACTCGTGGAGAGCTGTTTCAAGCGTAATAAATGAACTAACTCCATTGAACAGCTCGAATAACGCCTACCGGTACAGTAAAGTGCGTCGATAAGGAACGCCTGATATACATTGAAAGAAAAAGGTATATTGATAATTAAAGGTTTGACTCGTCACATGCAGACAGCAAATGCACTGATTTACTGCACTATGTAGTTCATGTCGGACTTCGCGACCAGAGTCTCGGCTTGAGCCCACGCAGCCAACTCAGCATAGGTAGCACCCGGTAGATCACGACGGCGATGACAGATTAGCAGCGACTGAAGCTTGGTCAGACGTAGCCGCCTCTGGAACGGTCTGGAAGTGGCGGTCACCATGGGAGTTGTGAGCAGCAGAGCGAAAGTTGGTTAATGAGGCATGCAGACATGTACCTGGCGCGATTCCCGCGCTCACAGCGATCCTCATGCTCATGATTCCCTCTCGCGACCTTTAGGTTCCATTTCCCCCGACTTGGGAGCCGCTCCATCCAGCCGCTCTTGAGGCTCGGTTTCGGAACTGTGATTGGCGGAATGTTAAACGGGACCGAATGATTGGTAGAATCATATAACTAATTCAGTAGAATTGGCACACAATGGGTACAAGCGAGGATTCATGTCTTGTCGTAGAATATAAAATGTCGCCCGTTCCTTATCGACGCACTTCACTGTAGTAAGCTGCTCAAATAAGGTTAAGCTGACGCGGTTGATAAGATTCAATGGAGACACGCACTATCTTGAATTTGTATAGAAGAGTGGTGTTTGACAGTGTGGAGAGGTCTATACTCGAAGTTGAGGCTGTCAGCTGACTAGTGTCTTCATTGGCGTCTATTCAACATGGTAGCGATGCTGGGCTTGCTCAGTTCAGCAACATGTACCAGAAAACTCGATCGATTTTTTTCCGGGTCAATACAAATCCTTTATACTTGATGTTTGTATTGGAAAGCACCGCCAAACCCAGTCACAAATTTCAATCAAGTCTAGTCCCGTACAGTGCGTAGTTTGGTAAATACATGGCTACGTATCAAAAGTAGAGTATTTCTTCCTGAAAATAATGCCCGAGTTTTGCTTCCAGAATCCTCCTAGTGTTGTCTCGGAAGTCCGGCCAAATTGCCACCAAGTGTTTAGTGCGCTTTATGGTATTAATAAATGTGCGAACAATAACTTCGGCGATGCGGTACATACCATAGGTAAGATACGACCACACGGGCCGCATCGGCCCCAGCAGGGCGGCGTCCTGCGCGCCGGCAAGAAGATCGTCACGCGCGAAGGACGCATGGAGCTCGTGCCGCCGCGCGCGCTCGAGACGAGCGAGATCCCGGGCATCGTGGCGGACTACCGCTCGGCCGCGCTTCGACGGCGTCGAGCTGCACGCCGCCAACGGCTACTTGCTGGAGCAGTTCCTGCACGACGGCATCAACGACCGCGCCGACCAGTACGGCGGCAGCGTCGAGAACCGCGCGCGCTTCCTGTTCGAGGCACTGGAGGCCATCCTCGAGAGTCTGGACTCGTCCAAGGTGGGCATCCGACTGTCCCCGTTCGGCGGCAGCTTCGGCGACAAGGACTCGGACCCCGTCGCCACCTACACGTACGTGCTGAACAGGCTCAACAACTACGACCTGGCCTACGCGCACCTGATCGAGCCGCGTGGCTACCACGTGCGTGACCCGCTGGCACCCGAGAAGGGCTCGGCGCGGCAGTTCCGCGAGACGTACAAGGGCGTGCTCCTCGCCGCGTCGGGCTTCGACCGTGCAGATCGTGGAGGAGGGCGCGGCCGACGCCGTGGCCATCGGCCGCCACTTCATCTCGAACCCGGACCTGGTGCGGCGCTTCCAACTCAACAAGCCCGTGAACGACTACGACACGGACACGTTCTACCTCGGCGACGCGCGCGGGTACACGGACTATAATACCCGTTCCTGCAGGACGAGTAGGTAGAGCAGTAAAGACGACGTAGACAGCAAAAGACGTGCTACTTCCGTAAGAACTGCAAGGTGAAGCGTACTGGAGGTGGCTGCGTACTCTCAAGTAAAACAAATTGTTGGTAGTTAAAACTACCGGTAGTTGCTGCAGGCACCAGGCACGTACTGTTACTGCCTCGGTGTGGGCTTGGGCGTCTTGTTGGATCACTTGGCGCGTTTAGTGGGACGGCCTTCTTCACCCTCTTGGTTTTCACGTGCTCGTTTCTTGGATGTTTCCGTCTCGCCACCTTGATCGCCTAGTGGCCCTCACCACTGCCACCAACGTCACTCTCAGCGTCACTCTTCTTCCTTGTCACCCGGCGCGTACGCTAGTGCTTTACGGGCGTTCTGCAACAACTTGTCGCGCTTCGCGGTAAGCGACAACTTTGCATACGAACTAGCGTCTTCGTTCCGTTTTTCATCTTCATCGCGATAGTCCAGGTCGCCCTCCACAAGCCCCAGCGGGTCATACTGAGACTCCACCATGTTTGATAGAATGGAAGCCACGTCCTCGCTCAGGAACGGGTAGGTGACCCTGTTGAGTAAACGGAGGCAGATCGTGAAAACAGGATCCTCCTCCGAGACACTCGACACACTTGAGACGCCAGGATTGCTCTCGATCTTCGCCCGCTTCTTCGCCTGACTCCCGATCGTCTGACTCTCCTCCTTCACCTCAGAGGCGTTGCCTTTCTTCTTGGGCTTAAGATTGTCTTTCATTGTCGTGGCATAGATGAACTTGCCGTCACGCGTTCTACCGCGCACATTCATGTAGATGCGAATGGTATCACGGACATCCGTGGAACCCAGCGGTTTCGGATCCCTACCAATTTCATCAGTAGATTTCCCCGCTGACGAGTTCCCATCACTGTTCTTTCCGAACACAAACCAGGGGCATAGTTTCTCCGTCGCTGCCCTGGAAAACCCACCATCGACTGGGGAACGACTCTTCACTTGAATCAACATCATCAACACTTCCTGCTCCTCTTGTTCACCCCTCGTTGTCTCCCCACCGACTGGCCTGCTGTTGGATCTCTTCTTAAACATCGGGATCAACAAATCGGCTCCATACTGGTTACGGGGGAAAATACCTGCAGCTTGACGCCCCAGCAAAAACCAAAGCGTGTCCTCATTCGGCTCAAGCTGCAACTGCACAAAGTGGGTGAACCCCATGTACCAACCATCCCACTTCGAGCACCACTCGTTGAATTCTGGTCTCTTATCTTCCGCGTTGTACATCCCCTTACAATATATCGACATCTCCTCGTGGCCTGTTAGCACGTTCAAGAAATCCTGCACCGGTACAAATTGCCCGATCGTATGGTAGCACTGGGAAAAATCTTTGTCCCCCATAACACACTTGTCCATCGCTAGAAGCAGCAGAATGCGAGCAACCATCTCGCCAATTTCGCCAACTCCACCAGTGTCCAACGCTTCATCCAAAAGGAGGTTCTTGAGTTGCGGCAGGATATACTTTGCCAGACCATATTTCAGTTCATACCACACTTTCATCGCTCCTAAGGCGAGCACTGGGTCCGAAGCGTAGCTGGTGACGTAACCCTCTCGTTTGAAGTTCACATACGCGAGAATCGCCATGAAGTCAGCGGGGGCCCGAGATGCCAAAGCCGACGTCGAATGCGGTCGAACACCCAGTCGATAAAGCATGGAGGCGACACCAAACATGGTATCCTTGTTGTACGCATTTTGCGAAGGGGGAATCCCCAGTAGCAGTTTATTCGCCGCGAGATCAATCACGCGAACTTTATGAGCTGGATCGGGGTAAGTGCTGTACCACATCGGGCGGCCCATGCGCCTCAACGCCTCCCAGGCCTGACCGTCACTTCCAGTTACGACGGTCTTGTACATGGCTATCTTAGCACGTTCTTGCTGTTTCGTTTTCTCTTCGTCTTCAGCTCCCACCGCAACTTGGGTTCCCTCGTTTATCTCTTCATCTTCAAAGTAGTCATCCCAGTGTGCGTCCATCGTATCAGCTAGTACAAGCGGCGCGAACGATGCCAAACTACCTCCAGATTTCCGAGAAGATGGGTCCAACAACAGAGGCGGCGTCAGGTCCGAGATCTGCGAGTTCGTATCAATCAGCACGCCGAAAATGCCTCCTTCGGGGCCGATATCTTCGTTAGCGGATTTAAGAGCATTTCGCAACATACGAAAATCGTTCTTCTTGCCATCCACCTCAGCCAGCAGACTTCTCGCTTCATCGATCACCAGAACCACCATTTTGCCGTCTGGATCCTTCACGGTGGAGGTACCCGTAGTTTGGATAAAGGTGTCCGGTACGGATGCTGAATCGGACGCCTTTATCATTTCTGTTTCTTTCACAAGCTTGGCCGCACACGGAACTGTCAGTTGCATTGTCGATAAACAGCTCCAGCCATTCCGTCTGAACGTCCGCCCAATGATCTTTCGCATAGCAGTAAATCGCCTTCAATCGCCTGGCGACCTCTTGCACTGAGGAGGCGGCAGGGTCAAACAGCCAATAACGAAGCTTACTCGTAGCCTCCGGAAACCCCGTCGATCGGTGCACACGCGCGCACATGTACAAAACTTTCAGGTTCAAGTTCGGTTCTCGTTCTGCCTTGAGCGCAAGCTCACGCACTGTCCGACTCTTGCCGAAGCCGGAACTCTGCACAACCGCCACACATGGCGCCTTGTACTTTGCAGGGTTGTACTCTTTCCAGCAGTCCCGCAGGTATTCTGCGAGGTCGTCTTGGGCCTTGCCGACGTACGTGACTTTAGTGAACGCATCCGAGAGTCGAATCATTTCGTCTTCACCCAGCTTGGTGATGAGGGGGTTGTCTTCCGGAACAAACTTTGCCAGGAGGTCTTTCACCGTCTTGACCGTAATGGTTTCCGCAAGATCGACCGTCACGTCTGGGTACTCGTATACGATTCTGATCTTCACCTCCAAGCATCCCTTAAATTCTTGCTGAGAGACCCGGAGTCCCGCGTCGCGATATTTTTTCAAATACTCATCGATGCGAAGAGGCTTCTTCTCCAGTGCTCCCTCGTTGCCTTCCTTCGCGTCCCCCAGTTTCGCGCTCAACTGAGTGAAGACGCTGTCGTCCACGAATGCGGCTATCTCCTCGACTCCAGGCTGGAGATCCGACTGGCTCGCCATGTCCAGCAGAGCGGCAGTGTTGCGGTTTGGCGACTTCTCTTTAATGTAGACCACATATTCGCTTTAATTGGACATAATCACTATGTAGTTTCTGTTTTTATTGGACAAAAGTATTTAGGCGCACATCTCGCCAGGTTTATTATAATAACACATATTGTACTTTTTGGCACTTCAGACTGTATTTGTGCTTTGCAATGATTTTGGCAATATGAGGCGAGATTTGCTGTATTATTACGACCACCTGCTAGATTTACGATAAATCGAGGTGCATAAATGGGTGGAGGCCTAGAATTACGCTAAAAGCGCCACAATTGCACTTTCAAAAGTGCAATTGTGGCTGTGCAGCTGCAATTCTGTCGGTTTTTATCCACAAGCACCTACACACACGGCAATTATGCATAAGAGGGTGGATGTGCTGGGGATCATGGACGGTGGTGTACTGGGCCAATGCATGGCTGCTGACAGGCCCTCCCGAGTCGATATATATATGAGGAGGTGGATTTATGCATAATTTTAGCAGGCCGTGTATCTTCTTTCACATATATTTAGGAGCAGGCTTTGCCATATTTAGCGTCTAAAATGGTCGGCAAAATAACTGCAAAGCACAATAACTCGTACGACTTATCGAGCACGACTATAAATCGTACTCGAGTACGAATTGCTGTAAGTCGTGGATGGTCAATCACTTGTGTCGAGCATTCGTAAGACAGTTTGACGACAAATCAAATGTAGCAATTTCATTGGTTAATATTGTATTATGTAGTTTTGAGTGTTGCTGCATCTCGGCTCGTAAATTGGACTGATTCATCTGTGTGCGCATTTTGCCCCCTTTACTAGAGGCAGCGCACTTGAAAAATGTCCGGGCTTTTGATCCTGACGCCATGCACTAACCTCCTGCTAGAAGATTTAAATATACTTGCCAGGAATGGAATGTAAGGACATCATAGCACAGTTATCATGCGACCGTTTGTTCCCGTAGTGGAGCAATGTTTCTTCGCTTTACTGGGGTGAACGACAACAGTCGTTCACCCCACCACGCCAACTCTCCTTTCTACAGTAAATTACTAACACTACATAGAAGATGGAGATTCGGATAGAGGGCGCACACGCAAACCAGTCTACGCTGTAGCATCCGCAAAAAGCATGGCTGCAGGCAGTGGCTAAGTTGCAGGAGATACCGAGTAACTCGCCGATGCCGAAGGTCGAGCCCAGCAGCGATATGGCGCGCGCCGAGCGCCCGCGCAGCAGTGTGGAGCTCCTCCGCACCTCAGCGTCGTAGGTACAATATCTAGGTGTTATCGCCGTTGCAGAGTACGTGGTTGCATTTTGTTGCTGGACTGTAATGATTAGGTAAGAGGGGGTCGGAGGATCTCGGGAAGCCCACTGGCAACACCGTTCCCTGGCTGCCTCGCCTTCACAACTACTATGATGTACGCTCAAGCATAAAAATTACTACATTAAAATGTACATGTAGTACCGTTACGAGCTATTTGTCCCTCTTAGTCTACGTCTACAAACTTCATCGTAACTCCGTGCCCTTCAACGGCTGCACCTCTGAGTGGAACAGCTCCACGGACTGCATGCACGCGTTCGTGCAGTCATTATGCCGATATTTAAGCTTGCTGCCAGCGGCCAACTACAGGCACATCGCTTCGTGTGTGAACAGGAGGCTACTTACCCTACCGCATCATGCAACTGCATCGTTTCGGCGCTCAACGTTGCCGCTGTCGTGGCGAGCAGACCTGAACATTTTTGGCCAATTGTATGGCGCAAACTAGTGTCCGACAAACTGTCTTATGTTTTGACAGACAATATGCAATGTAGCCACTGGTATACAACAA